ATTAGTCATCATAAGGAACAAGCAATGTTGAATTTATAGTTGACAATATCATCATCATAACAAAATACTATATACGTAAATGTTGTTTCACTAAATCCTTCCATTGTTTAATGCACTAAAAATGAATTTTCTCCACTTAACAAATGTATAAAAATGTCAAAATATAATTATTTCTGTTTAGTTCCTTATTTTTTTATTGAATTATTATTTTAATCGCTCAACTTCTTTTCAATCTCTTGTATTTTTCTTTCACGTTTTCTTATTCAAACATTTAAATCCTGTTTGTTTTGTTTCTGTTGTTACTAAAGGAGGATTTATCATCCATGCTGCACTTACACTAAGCTTTTTTTATTTGTAACTAACTTTATTTATGACACCTGGAGGAAAAATCCTCCTTTGAAAGGAATATACAAACAGAGAAAGCTGAGCCGGTAAAATCATAATTAAACAGAAATAATGAACTGAGCAAGAAAGTGTCAGAAGAAATTCTACATTCAGACATAAGTATAAAGAGTTTCTTGTCATAGGTGCTTTTGATGTTTCTAAACAATTGTTAGCTAGAGAAAATTCGTTTTTAGTGCATTTGGGATTTAGTGAAACAACATTTATGTATAAACTATAGTATTTTGTTATGATGATGATGATATTGTTAACTATAAATTCAATGTATGTATTCATCATGATGACTCCTGACTGGATTTAAAGAGAATAAATCTATATTTATGGATTTGGGCTTCAGTTGATCAGACAAGGATTTCCATCAGTTCTGGATCGAGTCACAAACATAAAACAGTTTCTGTTGTTTCTACATTTACGTGGGTCTGCGGAGGTGAAACTACAACGGTGCGTCGCTTTAAATGTTGCTGCACCAAGGAATTGTGGGACGGTATTTTCTCCTTTTCTTTCCTAAAGGAAGCTCCAGTGTTTCCTAAGTTAAAGGAGATAAGACCGGAAGCACTGAAGCTCCTTGCCTCATCAGTTAGAGAAGTTGAGCAGCTATGACAATGGCAGCCGCTCAGATAATTCCGGGTCATTTCACTCAGTTTGAACCTTCATAAGAAAAAAAGATTTTTCGACCGCAGGTACTTTTACTGTGAAACTGTAACTACAGGAAGTGCTTTTACTGTGACGCTGTACTCTTTCACTGATGGAGGGATATTTTTACCCTGTGGTACTTTTTCTTCAATAAAAGTTTACAAAAAAAAACAAACTTTTCTACCGTAGCCCAGGTCTCGTTGTCTCATCCTTGTTCTCGGTTCATTTTAAATTCTCGCGATGCGTGAAAACAGGTCGAGAGTAACAAGCTAACTAAACAGGAAACCTACTGACCGTACTCAGGTGTTAATGATGGTGGTGCTCCTCTTCCTCCTTCTCCTTCTTTGAGACGTTAGCATCCTCCTCTCAGGCTCTGTGCTAACGTTAGCATGACGGTTTGTTTGTCTGAAGTTCAGTTTCTCTTCTCGTTTCGTCTCTTCGCTGCTCCAACGTTCGAACAAGCCGCTTCCGCAAACAGTTGCTCCCGCGGTAACCACCTGACTTCTGACCTCTGACCTCACTCGTCATCATCGTGATAGGCTACTCTTCTTTTTTTTTTGATAATAAGAACATTATATGTCAGAAGAAAAAAAAGAATAAACAATTAAAATTAATTATAAAGAAAAACATTTTATACTGTTTTATACTGTGTTATAGAGTTTTATACAATTTATATAGTTTATTTTTTAATACACTTTATACTTTTTATGTAGTTTTACATTGTTTTATACTGTTTTATATTGTTTATAGAGTTTTATACTGTTTGTACTATTTTATATTGTTTATAGAGTTTTATAGGGTTTATACACTTTATACTATTTATATTTTATATATTGCTTATACTGTTTTATAAAGTTTTATAATGTTTAATTTATTTATATTGTTTTATAAAATAAAAATAATGGAACAAAAAGTGGTCTGTCAGGTATTAAAGTGCATAGATATTCATAAACATTTTTGATTGTTGAGGGCCGAATCTCAGCCGTGCTGATATTCAGTACGACATCACTCCCTCTCGTGTGATATTGCTTAAATAATTGTTATTGATATATCACACTGTATATTCTTATCATATTTTATATTTTAAGAAAAGTACCAAAAAAACAATATATTGTAACGAAATAAATGGACTGCTTGGCCATTTTCTTGTAGTCAACAGCTCTGCGGGGGAGTGTCTGTTGTTCAGGCCTGACCTGGTGTCCGTGGCAACCAGCAGCAGCATCCTCAGTCCCAGGAACTCTACAAAATATAAGTTATAATAACTTATGATAAATATGACTCAGAAAAAGTATCGACTGAACACAGAAGCTGACTAAATGTTTGTGCAACAAATAGAAACAAACTAAAGTATGAGTCTGAAGGATGCGTCATCAAGGCTCTGTTATGTTTTACATGAGCAATGTGAAGGTGGTGTATGGAGAGACGTGCAGATGGGTTACATCCATCACACCCCAGATGAAATAAACAGCAGAAAACAAGACCACAGACTCCACAGCGGGACCCTAAAGACAGGGACACCACCCCCAGAGGAAGACATCATGACATCATCATGACATCACACGTGACAGCTGTGGTCAGCGAAACAACAACAACCCTGGACATGAGCAGAAACATCAAGGTCAAAGGTCACGGAGCAGGAGTCAAGAGGACAACTGGAGAAAGATCAAGTAGGACATTCAACAACATTTCTGAGTGTAGACCCACCTGCTCTGGAGGAAGACTGCTGTGGGTGAAAGCCCGGGGAAAAAAATAGTAAGTGGACATTTACTTAAATATGTTAAAATCAGAGCTGCTCCTGGCCAGGTAAGAATCCTGAAGCCCGGTCCAGTCCTCCGAGTCCTGCTCCTCCTCTGGACCACAACAGGTGAACAGGTCAAGAGGCGGAGATACATCAGTCTCTTATCATGTCTCTCAATCACTTCAGCGTGACCACTACAAGGGGCAGCCATGTTTTTTATTTATTTTCATTTTTACAGTTTCCAACTCCCCAGTACTGCACAGTTCTCCCACTAATGATGCCCCCAACCCCCAATAACCAAGGAGCAAGGAGAGGAAAATAAATAAACAAATACCACCAATAATAACATCTTATTTATATCCTATGTGTATTTATATATATGTATATATATATATATATATATATATATATATATATATATANCCCAACCCCCAATAACCAAGGAGCAAGGAGAGGAAAATAAATAAACAAATACCACCAATAATAACATCTTATTTATATCCTATGTGTATTTATATATATGTATATATATATATATATATATATATATATATGTGTGTGTGTGTGTGTGTGAGTGTGTGTGTGTTTAATTTATTAATTTTTTTGCTTTTCTCTTTCTGTTTCTCTCCCTCTCAACAAATCAAAATATATATAAGTTGTGTTATGTTCTGTTATGTTGTGTTATGATTTTCCTATACCAATAAAAAGTAAACAGTCTGTTATCACCAGACTCCTGAAGCGTATACATGTGGCTGTTTTAAAGTTATCTGGGACATTTCTATGCAAAGTCACATAAAGCAAACTGTAAATCCAGATTCAAATCATTCAGGTTTGAGGCAAGCGGTCTGCACATAACTAATTAATTATTATTATTACTAATGAGTTACTGGACACATGAATCTTCCCTAGGGGATTAATAAAGTATATATCTATGTTTGTGTGTGTGTGTGTGTGTGTGTGTGTGTGTGTGTGTCACTCCCTACCATGTGTGCTATCCACCATTAAGCCACAAGATGGCAGCAGATAACTAATGTACTGACTGACTGTGTTAGTTTTACTGCTATACACCAGACTGCTGGAGGATTCCCATGATGCTGATGCCCTCTGTGTTTTTATCTACAACAATCATTATTGTTATTATTATTATTAGTAGTAGTAGTAGTAGTATTTATTAGTATTATTGATAACATTACTACCTATAGGTATTAGTATGATTATTTCCAATATAACAATTAAGGATTAACAGCAGATATAATTAATACTATTACGTTATTGTTTTCACTGTTACAATTAACAATCAACTGTGTATACTGCTGTTCATGGTCTCTCTCTCTCTCTCTCTCTCTCTCTCTCTCTCTCCTCTCAGGCCCAGCCGGTGGAGGCAGACCCCCGTCCCACCCTGATGAAGATGATCATAACAACATCATGTCCTCAGTGTGATGCTGTTTTTATACAACAGTTCATATTAGTTAAATAAACAACAGATTGTGATTTGTTTCTTTATTTTATCTTTTATTTGGCCACAACAACACAAGCAGTTCTGCATCTGGACTGTTGCTAAGCAACATAAACATGTTCCTGACCTGAACAGTGACACTATTGGTACTTTATCTCCACGTTCCTTCAGGTGTTTCTGAAGTGTCCAGGCTTCTTCCTCCTTCATCCTCCTGACGACATCGTCTCATTCAAACCTTATTTCTGAAATATTTTCATCTTTGTTTGTTACAGTCTGAGATCGATAACGACGTTAATGTGACGCTGATTAACAGTTAATAGAACAGCTGTGAAGAGCAGTGATACTGAACTGGGACACAGCTACTGTGACCTGCAAGCAGTTCCTGTTCTGTTACTATGGATACGGTCACCTGGATACTAAAGAGAAGGTTTTATTTTCAATGACTCTGGGATGTATGTTATAAAGAACATAGTGACAGTTAATTATGAAAGTTCATTCAGCTGAGAGCAGAGAGAGTAAGTCCCTGTGTGTGTGTGTGTGTGTGTGTGTGTGTGTGTGTGTGTGTGTGTGTGTGTGTGTGTGTGTGTGTTTGACTTATGACAGCCTACTAAAACAAGATTGGTCTGTCGTGTGTGTGTGTGTGTGTGTATCTGTGACACTTTATTTTACAGGAGGTAAGTGTAAGATCTAAAAATCAGCTGAGAGTGGGGGTTGGGGGTTGGGGGTTGGGGGGGGGGGATGAGTTGGACTCCTCAGGCCCCGCAGAGGTTCAGTGCGGCCCTGCAGAGAGCCACAGGCATGCACATCCCATGCAGCCTCCACAGAGCAACAAACCAGGAACCGAAAGCCTGAGCGCAGTGACTGATGGAGGGAGGTGGAGAGAAAATGTCCACTTCAGGAAGCCGCGGTAAAAACCCGCCGAACCGCACGATCCCGTCAGAGCCGCACCGAATCCCGATCCCGGAACACCGCCGAGAGCAGCGCGGGCTGTCCGGGTGGATGTGATGGATGTGTGTGGATGATGTGCACGCATCAGAGACTAATCCATCTCCGCCCGGAGAGGAGAGAGTCGGGGATAAAACATCACCATCGCATCTCTTCAGCAGTCTGCCTCTAAATACTGAGAGGAGAGGAGAGGAGGAGAGGAAGAGAGGAGAGGAGGAGAGGAGAGGAGGAGGAGGCCACCATCGCATCTCTGGATGGCTGCACTGCTCGCCTGATTGCCCGGCCCGCTGCAGGACCGGCTGGCCAAGCCCACCGACCTGAGGACCTATATAAGGCCCCGCGGCGGCACCTCAGCGGGTGTCTGTCACCAGATCTTCATCGTCGGCCTCCTCTGCCTCTCTCCTCGGATTGATCTTTCCTCTGTGTCCTCAGGGTAGCGTACAGCAGCAGCAGCAGCAGCAGCCATGTCTCACGGATGGGGATACGGACCTTCTAACGGTGAGGATCCACATTCAGGTTTCTGTGTAACAGGTTAAGAACACGCTGCCACATGCAGACAGTTCTTCTTCAGCTTCACTCTGACAGCAGGTCCAGCTGCTCAGCAGGGATCCACTCTGCAGGATTCTGCAGATTTACATGTAAAACACTGGAGAAACTTTGGAGCTGGAGTTTGAACTACAACACAACTAACAGCTTTAAAATACAAACACATGGATGCATCAGTAATAATATAAATGACCTCATAATAATGTATTTATTTATAGATATATACATATATTATACATATATAAGTATTTATTTATTTATATGTAATCTATAAGCAAGTTCAATTTTAATACTCTTTAATCTTTACACGTTTCTTTACATATTTATATTTATGTATATATTTATGTTATATATATATAGTATATATGTATTTATTTATCTTTATTTTTATCTTTATCTAATTTTTCTACTTCATATTCTCTGTTCTTTGCTGAGGAGCAACAGTAACACAAACTAATTTCCCCCTGGGATCAATGAAGTATTCTGATTGTGATAAATACATTTTAAAATGTGGAACATTTACTATGAATTGTAATATAATATGAATTACTATGAATGACATTTTTAATTATTTTATTATTATTATTCATTAACACTCTGAGGTCGACGGATGTTTCTATTAAAATCTTTGTGATAGTTCAGAGCAGAAATCTGGTTTAAATGTTGTTAGAATCTGTCGACTCTCCACTTTCTCTCACATATTCTTGTGAAATCATACGTGACTCAGCTTCTAAAATCTGGGTGAGAGTGACAGAGACTACCATTTATTATCCATTTATCTACTATTTTTTTATCATATATTGCACTATTTTTATGAACCTATAGACTTTGATAAAGACATTTGAAGCACCAAAACATTTCATCCACATCAGTAAAGGTTTATTTTCACAAAATATTTGAAGAATTTCAAAAAACTCGACTTTAATTTTCCAGCATTTGGGTGAAATGATCAGTTTATCATTATAGAAAGAGCTGAGATCGATCTGAACATTGTGATATAAACACATTAGTGTTATCTAATATGTCAGTTCCCTTTAAAAGGTGAATTAAAAACAATAATGTAGAAATTATTTTTATGACATTACATACATTTTTATTTTCTTTCTACACCACTGGACGACTCCGTGTGACACTGACACATACACCTTTATTTCTAGGACCCGACAAATGGGTGCAGGACTTCCCTGTGGCCGACGGGCCCCGCCAGTCTCCTATCAACATCGTCCCCAGGGAGGCCCAGTACGACTCCTCCCTGAAGGCTCTGAAGCTCAAGTACGACCCCTCCAACGCCACGGGCATCCTCAACAATGGACACTCCTTCCAGGTGGACTTTCTGGACGACACAGACACTTCCAGTAAGCACAGCTCGGCTCCTAGTGTTAATATAATACTACATATCTATAGATATACTGTAGCCTATACAGACATTTCCATTTAACTTTATCTAGCCGTCCTGTTCACCCCTCCACCCCTCCACCCCTCCGCCCCTCCGCCCCTGCTGTATGCACTGTAGCAGATAAGAGCGTGTGATGATGTCATGTTCAGTTAACCCTGATCACCCTTGTTTCATTATCTGGAGGTCAACGGGACATCTGCAGCACCTCGCCCCACCGCCCCTCCAGTGCACACAATGGAAGGAATTAAACTCTTTATTATTTATGAAACATGAAGGAAACGTTACACTGATTTTATTTTGGCTCCAAACTTATTGATATTAAAACTGATATTTAAATCAGTTTCTAGGAATGAACAGAAGAAAAACAGACGTTAGCATGAACATACAACAGATATCCTGAGTTTCGCTGATGATTTACCGTGTTAGCTAGCATTAACTAGCAAGCTAACCCTGGCTTCTGTCTTATGTAGGCTAGCGTTCAGGTTGCTAGCAGTCAGGTTGCTAACAGTCAGGTTGCTAACAGTCAGGTTGCTAACAGTCAGGTTGCTAGCAGTCAGGTTGCTAACAGTCAAGTTGCTAACAGTCAGGTTGCTAACAGTCAGGTTGCTAGCAGTCAGGTTGCTAGCAGGAGGAAATTTAAAATGGTGGATACATCAAAGTATGAGTTGAATTTCTGTGGAGACATCCCATGAAACTGTCGCCATGAATGAATTATTTTGCAGGAAGTAGAGCAGCCGATGAGGAAACAGCTTCATCTCCAGAGCTTTAGGTTTTAAAATGGTAGTGTGATTAATTATAGGCTATGCTATTGTGGATTAATTGTAAATTAACATTAATTTACATTTATTGTACTGTATTTATTGTATTTATTATCCACCTATTCTGATGTGAACTTGTAACTTATTATAACACAGCATCATTTCTTAAAGTTTGAGTCTTTGATCTGTTACTGTTAGTTTTATGTAAATGTAAATAAATTCCTGGTAAATCTGTAAATTCAGATCTTTTATGTTAATAAACCATTTGGTTGACATCATTAAAAAGCCCTCTTTGTTCTGATGCGACCAAACCTCCGCCCCTGGTTGGATGACGTGCAGGTTACTAACGAGCCGTGTTGATATTGAGTGTGTGTTTACCTGAGACTGTGTTGTGTTGTCGTGAACAGCTCTGACTGGAGGACCTATTTCTGGAACGTACCGTCTGAGACAGTTTCATTTCCACTGGGGAGCCAGTGACGACCGAGGCTCCGAGCACACCGTCAACGACATCAAGTTCCCCTGTGAGGTACCGATTCAAAGACGCTCACAACCACCAGACACAGTAACACACCCTCAGTTATGACACGCAGCAGGAAGTAACAGAGCTTTTCCAACATCTCAGGGCAGTGAGAGAGGACTGAAGTCACAATGCTGCATTTGTTCTGGAGATTTGAGGCTTTACATTCTACAATTATAAACTGATCAGCTGGTCGATTACAGTATCTTTAGATCCAATATGTTTTAGATCAATAAACAAAGAAATAAACTAGAGACTAGAGCTGCACAATTAATCAAAGTATGATCAAAATCTCAATGTGCAAATATCCAAACCATCCTCTCAGGACGTGTTGGTACAAGATCCTGTCGTATCAGGCCCCAGACGCTGGAAATCTGTTGTCATGTTTAATTAGAATTTAATTATTATATTTTTATTCATTATTTCGAACAAAAATAATATTTGTAATTTTTTTAAAACTATTCGATTATTCTTTCGAAGTTTGTCTGCGTGATTTTGACCTTGTGAACAATATCTCCGTAACGCCTTAAAGGAACATCTTCAAATTTAGTACAAACGTTCACTTGGACTCAACGACGAAGTGATTAGACTTTGGTGGTCAAAGGTCAAAGGTCAAGGTCACAGTGACCTCAGAACACACTTTTTAGCCATAACTCAAGACTTCAAAACTCTGTGTTTTCCCTGTCAGCTGCACCTGGTGCACTGGAACACCAAGTACCCGAGCTTCGGAGAGGCGGCCAGCCAGCCTGACGGACTCGCTGTGGTCGGGGTGTTCCTCAAGGTGAGTGTTTCATCGCTTCATCCCAGACCATCAGCAGACTGGAGCTGCTTTAAGTATTCAATTAAATTGTGTGTGTGTGTGTGTGTGTGTGTGTCCAGATTGGAGCTGCCAACCCCAGACTTCAGAAGGTTCTGGATGCCTTGGACGCAATTAAAACCAAGGTAAAAACAAACGTCACACAATTCAGCAACACACCGAATGTTCTCACACTCTGTGAAAAGTCATTATTAAGCTTTGGAATTGTTCCTTCCTTCCTTCCTTCCTTCCTTCCTTCCTTGACTCCTGCAGGGAAAGCAGACCACTTTTGCCAACTTCGACGCAAAGACTCTTCTTCCTAGTTCTCTGGATTATTGGACCTATGATGGCTCTCTGACCACGCCCCCCCTGCTGGAGAGTGTCACCTGGATCGTCCTCAAGGAGCCAATCAGTGTCAGCCCTGCACAGGTAAGTGCCAAGTTTTACATCGAACAGTTTATTTAAATAAAGTTCATTAATGACAGAAAAAAAACTGAGAAAGCAAAAAGAAAAGAATTCACCTGCAAAAATCCCCCAGGTAACCAGTAAGTATGTGGACAGTCATTACAGACGCTTGTTTATAATTATTCGTCCTTAAAGCTCCATGTTTCTTCTTCTTCTGTGTTTTATTTGAAGTGTTGATCCATAAGAAGATATAAAAACCATCTCAGTGTAGTTTTACATCTCCTCTCTCAGGCTTCTCTCTGGAGCTCTAGTAACAACAGGTGTGGATGGTGGGTCCAGGTGGGCGGGGCTTGGTGACTGCTTTGTTGTGACATCACAAAGTTCCAGAAGTCCTGACGGCTGGTTTTAAGGCTCAGTTTCTGAATACAGGCTGTGTGCATTTCTCTGTGGACTGAGGCTTTGATACTTTCACAGTATTAATATAGAAGCTAGAGCTGATCTATAATCACACTACACATGGACACAGACCTTTACACTGGAGGAGCTTTAACATCAAGAATATCACAAACCCTGAAGTGTGAATAAGATGTGAATATAACATCCAGATACACAGAAAGCTTTGTGCTCTTGACCTGTGGCTGGATTACAGCCTGTCAAAGTTAGATTTGTTTCAGAAGAAAAAGACACTTGTTTGAATTGCTTCTGTTTGGAGGAAGAGAAGTTCAGTCTGCGCCGTACAGCAGGATAAAGAGCCAAACATAACAACAACTGGAGCAAAGCCACAGCTGGATTACACACTGGATATAATGTAAATATAACCAGGAAGGTCATGAGTCTGTGTGTGTGTGTGTGTGTGTGTGTGTGTGTGTGTGTGTGTGTGTGTGTGTGTGTGTGTGTGTCTAAATAAAGACATTTTCTTGGCAGCTCTGTGGGCGGGACAGCTCAGGACGTGAGGCTGCTTTTGCAGTGTTTTTAATATCCTCACACACTTCAGACTTGGATTGGACGTCCTCTCAGTTAGTGGTTGAAGGAGCCTGAATGTGGGTCTGAGCATCGTGAAGGTCGTGAAGGTCACAGTGACAGATATCATATCACGCTTCAGAGCAGGGCGGGTCTGAGCCGAGCGCCCTGTGTTTCATTTAGATTACACTAACTGGCTGTATCTGCAGCGGCAGTGTGCACACATAATGAACACGACACACTCCACAGTCATGTGACAGAAAAGCCCCACGGAGCAGGTGAAGTTTCAGAGTTTCCCTTCAGTTAATAAAGCCTGGGTGTTTAATTAGAAGATGCTTTTCTGTAGAAATGAAAACACACTGAAGCAGAGAGGAGCTGCTGACTGAGGGACTGAAGTCCATGTTCAGCAGCTAGCTAAAGGCTAAATGGCTCCCAGAAGAGTTGTTGTTTATGCCACAATGCTGCTGTAGTCATTTTACACACACACACACACACACACACACACACACACACACACACACACACACACACACACACACGCTTGGTTCCAGGCTGTTTCAGTAGTTGGACAGTTTCTTATTGGTCTTAATGCGTCTCTGAGCGACATGTGTGAGGCTGTGTGTTGCACCACCGTGTGCACATGAGAGATAACCGCTGTGGCAGGAGGGTGTGAGGTGTCTGCGCTGTACAACACTGGACTGGAGATAAAGTGAATCGCCTGAGTGCAGGAAAGTCCACTGACTCATCGTCCAGGGAGTCAGTGTTTCCTTCAGTTGTAGCTGCTGAGCTGCAGGACGCAGGAGCTCATGGGAACGCTATAGGAGCAGCAAATCTAATGGTTTCTAAATGTGAATCCTCATGTCAACTTGAAAGGTCCAAATGAGTCTGTAACTGTCACTGTACGACTTTCAAAGACATAAAGAACAGCTGATCCATCACGCCTGTCTTTAAACTTTAACGCTCCTTCCTCTGTCGGTCTTTAAACAGAGTATGAGACATAACAGACCTGCTGTTGTCAAACCATTGATAAATCAGTCCAAAGACTGATGATGATATGAAAACAAAACCAACAGCTGAGTCACTGCAGAGCTTTTTGAAAGCAGCTCGGTCACGTTTGTTATTGAGCTGATTATTGAGCGGACACTTCACTGAGCCAAAGTGTAAACAAAGCTTTTTATTAATAAAGTAGGTCTACTACTAAATATAGGGTTCACACAGTGTATCAGGTTCAACATCTCGCCCAAGGACACTGGGCGAGATATTGAACTGGACGAGCCGGGAATCGAACCACTGTCCTTCTGATTGGTGGACGACCCACTCTACCTCCTGAGCCACGCTGTGTGCTCATGTCATGTTCAGGTCTCTCACTAGTTACACAGTTAGTTTGGGTTTAGTGGTTTAGTGGTGAGTCAACCAGTTGGTTTAGATTTGACCTGTGCCTTTAAAGTTCAGGTAACCAGCTGAGCTAAACACGGACCTGGCTACAGTTAAAGTATAATCATGCATTAGTGTTATGGGACTCTTCTCCAGCACCTCTTCTATCATTCATTTATTATTAATATTATAGCTCCCAGTACAAGCTGCCAAGCCTAAACTGGTCCCATGAGGGGGCAGACTCAGTTCCCATGAGCCTCTAGGGTAACTGTCTGGACGTCTCAAGGTCAAGTGTTGGGATTTAGTGCTGGGCAGGTGGCAGGTAAGAGCTGGAGAAGTCTGATGATAGATTTTAGTGAACAGCTGACTCCTGTCATCTGGTCCCAACAGTCAGACCTTAATCATCTTCCTCCTTGTGTCTCCTCTCTCGTCAGATGGCCAAGTTCCGCAGCCTCCTGTTCACCGGAGAGGGAGAAGCTCCGTGCTGCATGGTGGACAACTACAGACCTCCTCAGCCCCTGAAGGGCCGTCGGGTCCGTGCCTCCTTCAAATAAACCCCCGCTTCACCTTCAAAGCTCCTTCAACGCTTTGCTTATTCTTCCCTCTTTTCCCGAACCTTCCTCCTCCACATGCAGCCTTCACTCACCTTATTTCAGCCCCAACGACATCAACTCAGAAAGTAGAATAGAATCCATCTGCTCACACTTTCTATGACATAGACTACCTGGATGTATCTTGAATGAAATAACATAAGCTTTGACACTATAAAACATCCCGCCTCATAATGTCGACGTACCCGAGCTAACACAGAAATCTGCATCACATCCTCTCTGACCGGTCTGATCGTGTCTGTTGACGTGTGATCAGACGCAAAACATCTCAAATATCATTTTAAATATTCGAAAGGCAGAAGTAATGTTTGTGTGACTGTAGGAAGTGTTTCAATCAACAGTCATTTATTTCTATTTAGCATTAATGAAAAGTCTAAAACAGACTTAGGCAACTGTTAGTTATTGGATCATGTGTGCTACATACTACAACTGAAAAAATACACAGATCCACCTGTTTGGTGGATGTCGCTCTAAATTACACGCAGGAATATTTATCAAAAAATAATAGTCCGTTATTTAAAAGATATGAATTATATGTTTTGCCTTGTTTGAAAAGCCTTTATCAGTTTCCTGAAGCTCCTCCTATGCATTTGATTGTGCTGTGCGTTGTGCTGCAGACAGCTGCTCAGATTGTTAGAGCTCATGTTTTTCTTGACGCCTCATTTTGTCACTTTGAGACAAAGTGATGACACCAGCAGTGAGTCCGGGCCGAGGCCTCCGCCCATCGACCGGTGATCACCTCATGATGGTAATGCTATGAAACGCCACAGTGTGCTGTGAACGACAGTTGTATCTGGTACTGGATGACAGAGGTCGTGTCCGCGCTGATGCACGTAGATATGAAACACTTTTATTTTCTTCAGTGTAGAGCTTCCGTCCACATGCAGTCATCTTGTATCTGCGTTACTGTGGACACGACTTTAGCCATCTCACTCTGTCAGTGACTCTACAGTACAAGCTTCACACCTTTTATAAGAACCATGACAACTGAACTACCTAACACCACAGTGCATTAAACTTAGACAGAGCTGGTGTGTTATAAAGACGTGAAAGGACCAATGTATGACTTTGCATTAACACAAGCTACAGTATCAACACAGGTCATAGACTTAATTATTATCTTTGTCAACAGTGTCTATAATCAATACTCCATCTAACTGAACTGGGATCAGTGGCAGGTCTTCATAAGAAACCTGAGCAATGTCACTTTTTAGCTTTTATATCAATGTTATAGGAAATGTTATTAAAAAAAATCTTTCAGTGTGTCACTTCAAACTGCTGTCACGTTATAGATGGAAAGATATTTTGTGTGAATCTGTCGTTAGTGGTAAAGATTTATCAATAAAAACTATTTAAAATCTACAGAAATGTTTCAGATTTTCCTTTTATTCACAACTCATTGGAAGTTTGTACTGACATTTAATGCTTTCAAAGATTAATGTGTTTGATTTACAAACAGTATATATGTATTTATAATTACACCTTTTCACCAAAACTGTTCAGCACGGCCCCGGGCCACAGGTTGGGAACCAGTGTCAGTATCTTGCTAGTTTAACTAAAGCTGCCAAATAAATGTAGTGGAGTAGAAAGTACAACATATCAATACAACAACTAATCCTCCATTGTTCCACTGCTCATGACTGAGCACCAGTGTTTGCTAACATTAGATCATATATGACATTTTATATTGGTGATGTAATGACAAGCTAACACTGGAAATGAAAGGGCGCAATATCAGTTAACCTTAGTTAGCTAAACTGTAACTCAAAGCTAAAGTTAGAAACTAGCTAACATTACTTAGCTCAACTGTAACAGAAACTAGCTAACATTAGTTAGCTAAACAGTAACTCAAAGCTAAAGTTAGAAACTAGCTAACATTAGTTAGCTAAACTGTGGCTGTGTCCAAAATCACTCCCTACTCCCTACACAGTCCACTAAATAGTGAGTTTGATATTCTGCGGTGCTGTCAGAAATGTATAGTGAGAATTTTACGCTACATAGTGAACTGATTGGTCATGTCCGAAGTCACTCACTCACTCACTCACTCACTCACTTACTCACTCAGGGAGTTCAATGTAGAGTAGTGTAGTAGTGAACTCATCGGTAAAATGGAAAAACAAAAGCGCAATGCATGATGGTATATATTTCTTGGTTAGTGACCATCGGTTGTACACTACTTTTCACAATGCATTCTGGGATACTATATGAGTCCACTATAAAGGGTATAATAATTCTCACTATACATGTGGGCAGCACCACACAGTGCAGTACATGGGGAGTAGTGAGTGATTTCGGACACAGCCATTGTATCCCACAGAAACCATAGTTATCGGTGGGGATTGCGAGCACTTGGCAGAGGATGTGTGGTGCTCACTGGTGACGGCCTTATGTAACAGTGTTTGGCTGTTTGTTAGTGTCTCTACCAACACTCCTTTGTTAGAGTCCTCATCATCACAAACCATTAGCTGGATGGTCTTTGTCGGAGAGTTGGCCATTAAACAGCTAAATAGCTATTCTGTCTCCGTCTCTTTCAGTGTCTGAAGAGTGGGTCGTGGGGGGTGGGTTGTAGGTGGGGGGGGGGCTGAGGCTTAGAAGGGACAAAATCAAACAACAAACAGACACAACCACAAACTTGGATGAAATGAGATGTAAAGGTCTTTGGATAAAAGCTTGAGATAAATGCAGCTGTATTGGAATCATACAGTTATTCAGTCAGCTTATTCGAATTTGCCTCCCAGCATGCATTGCAATAAGGTTAAAATCTTTTTTTCCTCATGTGAAAAGAGTTTGATGATGGAGGCTGTCTGTACTCCAGACACCTGCACATCTGCTGCCATTTGCAAATCCAATATATAAATATGTTGAATATCCATATATGAAATATATGTAGATATATAAAATAAAACCATATAGTGACATATATGACTTATGTTACATAATACGCATCCATCCCACAGCCTGTCGATAATAACAAAAAACATACATAAGCATATAGAATTTTTATATGTTTGTTGTTTTAATAAACTTGCACATATGAATTAAATACATATCATTAACATATATATGGTTGAAACATATTAAAAATCATTTACATATTCAAATTGTACCATGGGTATTTCACACATGTTAGAAAAACTTGAGGAACATTTAAGTCATATATTACATTTCTGGTCCTGGCCTGAATGTGACAGCTGACAGCAAACACAGAAAATACTGAAAGGTTTGAGTTGTTCCAACTTGGCATCAGTTAACAGACGTGAAATTACACAGTGGATAAACTCAAACCCTGAACCTCAGAAAGCTGCTTCAGCTGCAGCATCAACACACACACACACACACACACACACACACACACACACACACACACACACACACACACACACACACACACACATCTGGCTATGTGATTTTGTTTCAGTGAACTCTATGACTATTCAAACTTCTCCTGAGGCAGTAACTTTATACTTGTGGTACTAAACTCTTATTAATGTTCTCTTGTGACCTTTTGTCAGAAAATCACAACTTTCTTTATGGTAACTTTCCGATTTTAGTCTTTAAAATCTGTTTTTGTTCCCAACAGAGACGGATGCACTGAGTTGTTTGTGGTCCTGTTAGTGGTCCTGGTCCTGCTCAGTCCTGTTAATGGGTCCACTGGGTCTCTGGTCTTTCATGTCCTCGTCCACCGTCTGATGAATGTGGACAGGATATTAATGAGAGGACAGATGACCCAGAACAGGCAGCAGCTCCACACAGCAACAAACATGGCTAACAATGTCACGTCCACTTCAAAGAGTTAGTGTGTGTGTGTGTGTGTGTGTGTGTGTGTGTGTGTGTGTGTGTGTGTGTGTGTGTGTGTGTGTGTGAATGGGCTCTCTGCTTCACACACTCAGTCACTGTTTTGCATGGACAGGGAGGAGAGAGAACCAGGTTGTGTTGAACATGGAGGTTGTGTTAACCCTCTGAGGTCGACGGATGTTTCTATTAATATCTTTGTGATAGTTCAGTGAGGGAATATGGTTTAAATGTTGTTACAATCTGTATATGCTCCACTTTCTCTTATGTTATTTTTTTTGCAAGATCAAACGTGACTCACAGCCTTTAAGTGATATTACAAAATTTCATTTGAGGCATTTATTATCCATTTATCTACTATTTTTTATCATATATTGCACAATTTTATGAACCTATAGACTTATAACTTATAAACACATTTGAAGCACCAAAACAATGCATCCACAAAATATTTCACAAAATATTTGAAGAATTTCAAAAACTAGGCTTCAATTTTTAAGCATTTGGGTCTAATGATCTGTTTATCATTATAGAAAGAGCTGAGATCTGAACATTGTGATATAAACACTTGAGTGTTGTGTTGTAAGTTCCCTTTAAAATGTGAAAGAAATAATGTTGAAATCAAGAAAATGCCCTCAGACCTCAACATGGAGGTTGTGTTGAAGGTGGAGGTTGTGGAGGTCGTGTTGAAGGTGGAGGTCGTGTTGAAAGTGGAGGTTGTGATAAAGATGGAGGTTGTGTTGAAGGTGGAGGTTGTGATAAAGATGGAGGTCGTGTTGAAAGTGGAGGTTGTGATAAAGATGGAGGTTGTGTTGAAGGTGGAGGTTGTGATAAAGATGGAGGTTGTGTTGAAGGTGGAGGTTGTGTTGAAGGTGGAGGTTGTGATAAAGATGGAGGTTGTGTTAAAGGTGGAGGTTGTGATAAAGATGGAGGTCGTGTTGAAGGTGGAGGTTGTGATAAAGATGGAGGTCTTGATAAAGATGGAGGTTGTGTTGAAGATGGAGGTCGTGTTGAAGGTGGAGGTTGTGATAAAGATGGAGGTCTTGATAAAGATGGAGGTTGTGATAAAGATGGAGGTTGTGTTGAAGGTGGAGGCTGTGTTGAAGGTGGAGGTTGTGTTGCTGCTGATAATATGTGCAGACTGTGTTCTGCTGTGACTAATCCTCTGTGTTAAATCCAAATATTACATAAGGAGAGGATTCCCTCACCAACTTCCTCTCTCTCTCTCTCCCTGCCGCCCCTCCCCCAGCTCCACAGTAACACACAATGCCTCTCTCTCCACGGCTGAGTGACAACTGTAACCATGGCAACTGCATGTTCATATCATAAAATATGGAAGAGGGATTTCTGACCTGTGGATGTGACACACTGCCGTGGATCATGACAGTGATACACGGACTCCATGAGGACTATGACCTTTAACCTTCCCAGCTGAGATCCGTGTCTGTTCGTCGCTTTGGTTACAGACGTTTCGGGGAATGTGGGAGGACGGACCTCACAGTCTCAGACGAACTCCTGGTGTAGGATAGAAATGTTTGCTTACACCTGTTAGATCTTTCCCTCCCCTCGGAGCTGCAGGTCTCGCTCCAGCTGATGTCTGCAGAAATCGTGCAGGATGCGAGGACATAGTTTAACCTCCGCCCACACATATTACCCACAATTACCCATAAAGCTCTGCCTCGCCTCCAACCAGTTCAAAATGCAGCAGCTACAGGCTCCTTACTGGTTCAAACAGACGACATCACATCACTCCTTATTTCCCTTTATGGTATCTTTATTTCATTCCTTATTGTTTTATCTCTTTACAAATGTTTTTTTTATCTGTTTCTATTGTTTTTATTTCCTCTATCACTTCTTCGCCTTATTTTATTCCACTGTTACTTCCTGCCTCTCTATGCCTCTTTATGCCCTTATTTGTATTAATCTTTTTATCTCATTCTGTTTTGCTTAATGTTGTTTTGGTGCCTTTACCTCCTCTGATTATTCCCCTTTAACTGCTGACATCATGTTTGTTGTTGGGTTCTTGTGTTGCTGTTGTTGTTCGGGTTCTTCTGCCGTTGTTCTCTTGTATGTTTGTGCTTTTATGTCAGAGCACTTTATAAACCCTTGTTTTTAAAGGCGCAATATAAACGAAGGAATTATTATTATTACATATTTAACTGCAGTTAACCATAGCAACAGCACTCGTGACGAGGACACAGCTTTCCCATATGGTCAGCGGAGCAGACTGTGTATAAAATATAAATGACTTTTCGCTCGTCGTGTCGGCTCCGATTTTTGTGATTGGCAGGAAAAAATATGCAATTAACCCAGTTTCAGGGGTGGATGCGCTCGTCCTCCATCTTGGTGGAAGTGAGGTCATGAGGTCATGTTTGCGCTGACTGTGGCGGAGCCCGAACAAGTCGATCTGCACCGGAGGAAACCCCGAGCAGCGATCTTCTTCACGTTGTTCACGGTGTTTGGTTTCTGTCTCGTCTCACGGACGTTAGCAAAGGTCAAACTGTAGGAACAATCTGTTTCTTCTGAACGTGTTTACACTGCCAATATTGACACTCAGATAATACAGCAAACACAAACACACTAAACCTCACAAGACTCCAAGACTGCACTGTAAATCTCCAACGACCCGTCGGACACAGAGGGGCAAAGTCAGAGAGAAAATACCTGTAGGTTTTTATGAGTGTGGATCACATGACTGATAAGATCAACTCCGTGTGGCGTTAATGATCCAAGTCCAAAGGCTGTTAAAGAGACTCCAGATCTATATGATGTATGTTGCACATGAGAGAGACAGAGGACAGTGAGGCAGTCAGCGTTTGTCAGAATGATCTTCAGGGTAACTACAGACTTTATTGGCGTTCAATTCTATATTAAAGTTGAATAATTAAATAAACAGTTACACAATGATTCATTAAATGTGCAAATAAATTCTGCATTAACAAACACTGTGCAGCTGCTCCGTCGATCACAAGAGGAACTAGGTCGTATCCCTCCGCCACGCGGTTCTAGTGTCAGGTAACTTCCTGTTGATCCAGAGTCGTATAAAATATGAACCATTGGTGTGAAATTTTGTCATAATTGCTGTGTGAAATCTTGAGTAATGACCTTTGACCTTTGACCCCCAAAATCTAATCAGTTCATCCATGAGTCCTGGTGAATGTTTCTGCCAAATTAGAAGAAGTTCCGCCGAGACGTTACTGAGATATCGTGTCCAGGAGAACGAGGCCGCCGCTCCGACTGTCGGAGGAATAAAAACTGTAAAAAAAAAAAAAAGAAAAAAGTGACACTTTATCAAATATAAAACTCACATTTTAAAATCATCTGGTTCAAATAAGGAGCCGAAAAACACCAATAAAGTGTCTGTGGCTTAAAACTAAACAAAAGATCAATGTCACACTGACACATGATCATACAGGATATGATGTCATCAACAGGCGACCAATGAAACGTTACCATGATTAAAATCACTGATTTCTCCGGTTTGAGAATTGATGGAAACATTTGGGAGAATGTAAGAACACAACTCAACAACATGTAGAACACAGGTCCAGATGTTTTTAGATGTTTTAATGTGTAAAAGTTACAGATTTGAACTTTAATGAGGAATTCATCATTTAAATTAAAGTAAATATATTGATTCAATTCATCAATTTATGACGACGACAGTATGAGTCTATGAATAATCTGTAGATCACTCCAGTGACTCTGACTTCATGCAGCTGAAAATAATGGTAATAATAATTTGGGGGTTGGAGCCATTTAAAGAATCAAAAATCATTAATTAGATTTTAAATCAATGTGAAATCAAACAGGGAGGCGAGCACCGGAGTCATGTGACCGCACCTGACAAGACGGTGACTTGACACTGAGAACAGACCTGTGACTGACTGGCCTCTGGCTCCATCTAGTGGCGCCTCGCCCTGACTGCAGGAGGCCTCAGGGTGATCCCAGATCAGCTGATGCTGCTCACACCTGTGTGATGAGCAGCTACTTAAACTCAGGTGTGTCCGCTCCACACTTTCACTCTCTTTGCTCATCGCTCTGTGTTTCTCACGTCCTCCTCCTCAGCCAGGTAAAGTGACTCCGCTCTCTCTGCCGACAACATGGGGAAGTACAGGTGGAGGGTTTGGACTCGTGGTGTCTGGGTGGCGGCAGCAGTGATGGCAGCTGGTCAAGAGTTAAATATTAAATTAAAATAAATCCTCTTCAGTGAGTCAGTTCAGTTGCTTAAATCCTGAATGTTTGAGTCTGACAGACGTTCGACTCCCAGGAACTTGTTCCCTGAGGTTAAATCAGAAGTGACATGCAGTTTTAATCAAATATAAAGAAGGTGACCAAAACAGAGACATTGCCAGAGTGCAGCTGTTCCTAACCCACAAACATGCTGAAAAACTTATTCATGCTCTTGATTCTAACAGATTATTGCATCGCTCTTTTTGCTGCTGCTGAACGACTCCAGGTCATTCAGAACCGAGCTGCTGGACTTTTACCAAAAAAACAAGGAGAAGCTGATTACTCTGGTTTTTAGCTTCACTTCACTGGCTCCGTGTCTTTTAGAGACGATGTCCAGGTCTTTGTACTTCCTGGTTCAGACCGGCCTATATAATCCTGCACGAGCTCTCAGATCTTCAGCTTTTAAAGTCACACAGTTTTACACACAAGAAAACAGGCAGTGCAGCGTTTTAACTACGATCCCAAACTATGGAAAACAGCTGGAAACCTGATTATTCAACTTTTAATTCATTCGCTCATATTTTACTTTTCTTCCTGTTTTTTGTTTTTATTATCATTTACATATTTTATCATCTTGTCTTTTTAATGTCTATTTTCATCGTCCTTCAATCTGCCCTCATTTTATTGTAGTATTTTATTTTTTTATTGCAAAGCACTTTGAGTGACTTCTTCTTCTTCTTCTTGAGTGAAACAATCTAACATTTACCACATTGTTTGTGTGTGTGTGTGTGTGTGTGTGTGTGTGTACACCTGTCTAACACACCTTTCCTCCTCCGCCCTGTGTAGGTTGAATATGACTCTTCAGGGACCGAATGGCGGGAACCTGCACTCCAGCAGCGGCGTGCCGAACCCTGGGCAGCAGGATCCCAGACTGCAAGGCGGTCTAGATCCAGGACCTGCACCCCACCCCCAACACCCCGCCCCCGCCCGCCCGGTCTTCTACGTACATGCTCCGCCTCCGCTCCCTTTCCTCCACTACCAGTGGCCCGTGCCCTTCTCTTACAACCCCTTTGCGGGCTTCCCAGGCATGGGTGAGTGTGAGGACGTGACTCTTTACCTTGTTGTTTTAAAACTTGAACCTTGACCTCTGTTTGTTTCTCTCAGGTTATGGTATGGTCATGCCCCCGTTCCCTCCTCCTCCCCCCTACATGGAGGCTCCATCCTACGTTCTCCCCCACCCTCACGTCCAGGCGGTTGACTACAGACGCTTGCTCCACCCCCAGCCCCACGCTCCCTGCGCCCCCTACCAGAACCAGACCCGCAGAGTCCGCCCGCCTCACAGCGTACCCGTCAGAGAAACGGTGAACTCCGAGGTCCAAACAGAACCGCCGCACAGAGGCACGGGTGGTTATGGCGGGGGGAGCCTGATTGTCGGCTCAGACTCTGGGCACGGAACGGCCTCCAGCTCTCCGTCTTCAAGCTCCAGCTCCCAAAAAGGAGGCTCTGCTGAGGTGGAGAACTACACCTTACCTGGCGACGCAGAGGACGTCCAGGTGAAGAAGAGCGGTACAGGTAGCCCCGTCGCACGCCGCTTTAACGTCCCGGATCCTGCTGCAGCGAAGACGGTCTTGTCTCGTATCAGAGCAACTGAAGAGACGCAGAAGAGCCGTAAAGATGGCGTCGATCAGGAGAACGCCCCCCCCTGCAGGAACCGTCGCTGCGACGTGTGGTCGGCGAGCTCCCCGGACAGCATGGTCCCGGTGTGCAGCTCCTCCCAGCAAGAGGACGAGGCCGTCAAAGAGAGACGGGTCTCTATTCCCGACATCCTGATGAGCTGGGGAGGGGGCACGCCGCAGGAGACCATGCTGAAGACGGCAGGTGAGGAGCCGCCTCAGAAGAACCAGACGGACCCGGCGGCGGTGGCGTCTGACGGCGATGAAGACGCTGATGAAGACGTTGCGTGTATCCTGAGTTCTAAGGACAGTGAAGCCCTCTTCAAGATCCTCAAACTGCCTCCCGCTCTTTATGACCTCCTGTCAGAGTCCAGAGGAGACGACGAGCCCGTGGAGTCGCTGGACTCTGTGAGCCGGTGTCTCCCCTGCAGAGAGGAACTGATGCGTTCACTGAACAAATCCCACAAGCTCCCGGACGACGAGCAAACGACCGGCGACGAGACGAGTCTACACGAAGACACCGCGGACATCATTCCTTATCAAATGCCTCTGAGCGGCTGCCGGTCCAGGAGGAACGTGAACGAGTCTGTTTGGTCTGTGGAGTCTCTCGCCCCGTTTGTCCCCACCAAGGAGTGGCTGCTGCAGAACGGCATGTTTGAGCCTCAGGTCATCGTCGAGATGACGGAGGAAGCTGAGAACTGCAGACACTCCACCCAGACTGACAACCCGGCCGTCAAAGCTGACAGGCGGACCCGCAGGTTGTCCTCCTCCGACTCCGCCCCCATGTCGGACAGCTGGCTGATCTTCAGCACGCCGGCTGAGAAGCCGAGTCCACCGAAGAAGCCAGAAATGGCGAGTGACATTTCCGCCTCTGAAGCGAGAGGAGCGGAGGAAAGCCGGAACACGACTCCTTCAGAGAAGGACCCCTCGGCTTCCCCGGCCCGCCCGCAGAGGCAGATAACTGTTTGTTCTCCCGCCGCGGAGACTGTGGATGAAAATGGGTCTTCTGAACCCGAGGCTAATCGAAGCCCAAACCAGGAATCTCTTATTTTAAACGAGCGGCGGGAGAATGGCGCCGGCTCTCCTGAGCGGGAAGCGACTCTGCTCTTGAGCTCTGCAGCAGGAGAGAGAGTCTCGTCTACAGGTCACCTGACCTGTAGAGGGGACGAGGTGGACGACGGGGCGTGCGGTCGCGAAGAAGTCCGAAAGGAGCAGCTGTGCGTCCCGAAGGTCGACCAGAAGACGTCTGAGGTGTCTCCGTCAAAGGGACATTTAGTGGACTGTGGCGTCCAGTGCAGCGAGCTCAGGTGTGCGTGTGAAGAGTCGAACGGCGGCGCGGCGCCAAACAGAAGGCATCCTTTCAAATTCTCAGGTGATGATTTTTAAAATTCGGCGTGTTGTGTGTTGGCTGTGCTCTCTGTGGCGTCGCTCTGACTCTGCTCCGTCTCCTAGATACGAAGAGGGCGAGCGGCGGGAAGGACGAGGGAACCTGCAGGAACGCACACGTGCAGAAAAACCACAAGAGGCACGGTCAGTGGAAGAGCAGAGGTTCAGGTAACGCCGCCATCATCATCATCATCATCATCACTTCAAGCTCAGTGTGGTTTATGACCAAACACCTGCAAAATAATCCCCGATAATGACTGATATACACTGATCAGTTTATTAGGAACATGTAGATCAACCTGATGGAGTCTGATACAACAGTCCTGCAGTAAATCCTCCTTCATGAAGCTGATAATGTTTTTATTAAAATAGTTTCCGACAGTTGTTGATGATCATTATAGAGGATGTAGTGTTTGGAGGTGTTTCTGATATTTACCTGCATTCACTGATAGAACTGGGGTGGATAAAATAATAGAAACACCTGAGTGTCCTTTATACAGCAGTAGTTTTGTGTCGACGTATCGGTTCCAAATATCTGTTATCGGTCTCCTTGATTATCGATAATCAGTATCGGCCCTGGAAAAGAGTATCGGTCGGTCTCTCGTCTTAAATTGTTGTTTTTCTTCATTTCAATGTTTATTTAATTTTTAATCCACGTTTTCTGCATCGTGCACCATCAAACTAACTTCCAACAAGCTATACAAGATTTTCTAATCTAAAGCTTACGTTGATCATTTATAGTTATATTGTTGTTATGTGCATATTTTATTTTACTATATATTTCTATATTTTAATGATTTTAGTTTGTATTTTTAACATGTGCTGCCAAACTGAGTTTAATTGTTTTTAATGCAATGACAGTAAAGAATCTATATTCTGGTGAAGTAAATGTTAAAGTTAATTCCAGTGATTTTTGCTGAGAGGATGGACGTGGACGTTACGCAGAAGAAGCTCGTACAGAGCGGAGCAGGTCTGTGCTGCAGACAGCATGTAGCTGCAGGACTGATATAAAATGTGTTTTTAGCTTTTTGTTTGTTTCTGAATATCGTCTTTTAATGACGGATCAGTCCCGGACTGTGACGTCAATCGTGTCAGAAGAGAGAATAACAATGAAAACAAGGACAAAATATTTAGAATATAATGTGTTTTTTTAATAATCCGAAAAAACCGAGTGAACATTTTAATGCAAAGTAATGTGAGTGACGTCGTTCTGAACACAACTGAAATCCAGACAGTCCGTCACCTGAAGGGGAGGTTAACTGTGGGGGTGTGGTTTGAGCTTTGAGTGACAGAGAGCGAAGCTGAGCCACACCCACCTGAACCCAGTAAGAGGAGCATGAGGAAGAAAACACAGGTGTGTGTGTCTGTCTCATGTCCGCAGAGAAGCACGGCAACCAGCAGGAAGTCTACTACGGATACTACGGCAAACCTGGGAAATCTAAAGGTGAGAGCCGATCAAATACAATTTAAATCACTAATAGATGATGAATATTAACTATTAACCCAGTTACACTGCAGGTCTTTTAATTAAGTTTCTACCCACATTAATCCACTTTACTCAGACATGATCCTTTCAGATTAAGGCCTGGTGAACAGCTTGACTTTATTTTGAAACCGAGGTGTCAGACTTTTATTTTGGAAAGCTCTGTTCTTATGTATAATGATTTAGTGACTTAACAGATCCGTTTCTTCCCTGTAGGTGGAAATGGAAGAAATCCACGGAACTGACTCTGACCCGTCTCCATGACAACACTGTCTTTTTTTTTTTTTTAAATTAATCAATTTAATATTAAAATGAATTTAAAATGTAATAATGCTATTTTTCAATAAAAAGTTTTCTACAAGTCATTTGTACATGTTCATTTTTAAACACGAGGTTTAAAACAAAGTGTGGGTGACGAGATTCCAGTTTCACTTCCTGTTTTGTTTTGTTTTTTTCCCTTGAAAAGCTGCCAATCAGAATCCTGCAATCAGCACCTGTAACTTCAGAGCTGAGCGACTGAAACAGAAAAGCTTTAATTGTCCTGGTGCTGAGAGAGAGAGAGTTTGTTCTCTAACAGGTGATGACGGGGAATAAACATGTTGAAGGGACAGTTCAGGTTTGTTGACGTGTTGTGAGGTAACCACAGTCGGTACATCACCTACGGAGCGCACTGTACTACACCGCAGGTCAGCTGAGTGAAAGCGACGTAATACAGTGTACTTGTGCGTAGGAATACGGTAGTTCAGCGGTTGCAAAATGTAGTGCCAAAAAGTGAAATTATTCCACATGAAGCTTTATTTAAACAGATGTTGGATCGTCTGAATGGGTGTTTTTAAAAGTGTCTAAAACAGGTTTTTCCTCTTGGCCCCGCCCACAGCAACACATCACTCTACCTGTAACTGATGCCACGCCCTTTAATAATCTACTGTAGGTAACGTACCGACTGTTTGAGACTAACTCGCACAACGCCACGTCAACAAACCCGAGCTCTCCCTTTAACATGAACATCAGCAGCTGAACGGAGGGTGAACTCGACAGCGTCTAACTAATAATACAATTAAACATGTTCAGACCTCTTGACTCTAAAACCTTTAATAACATGTTGGCTTGGTTCACTGACTCACGCTGCCTGTGCAGAGCTGCAGATGTGCAGAGCTGCAGATGTGCTCCAGCTGTTTGACACCAGTGCTGTACAACGAGCTAAAGTAATGTGGCGGCTGCAGAGCAGGAAGTCTGGTCTCAGTCTGACGAACTCATTTCCTTCAAGGTGAGACCGGACAGTCGTGTCAGAGGTCATAGGTCACGGCCCAGCCGGGCGATCTCGTCCAGCAGGAAGTCGACGTCCTCCTGCTGCGTGGCAGGGTTGGAGAACACACACCTGAAGAAATTGACCCTGGCTCCCAAAGGCTGATAGCCAATCAGAACGGAGCCCTTCTCCATCATCCTGGCTTTGATCCGAGGAGCCACCTGCAGAGACAGATCACCGTCAGACCCCCCCCCCTCTAGAGACACTTACCGGCGTCACGCTCTTAATTATCACTATAACCGTCATCACATGACTATCACATGACAGAGTGGGCGTGCAGCAGGTAAACAGAGTCCTGCCGCCGGTCCCTCATGACACAGACGGCGATAACACTGATAACAACCGTGGGGGTCATTTTGGTCACTAATTATCACGGTACTGAATCTCTGTACTGTTTCATGTCTAACTGTAAATATGACATCACTCTGCAGCAGCGGAGCCCCTCCCTCTCTGCGGCGTCCCGGACTGACCTGATGGAGTCTGGAGTCTCGGTCCGGTCCAGGCGGCAGGCCTCTCAGACCGGGGGGGATGTACCAGAAACACACGTTACTGTGCTCTGGCTGTGAGAGAGGCAGAGACACACGTGTCCAGTCAGACGTTAACGAGACAAACACCGTCGGTCCAACGTGTCACAGCGGCGCCGTGGAGCGTGAGACTTCAGGTCGCATCAGCTGTAGCTCATCTTTATTACATCACTTAGATTCTTATCAATCATCTCAACAAAAGTCAGATCTGACGCTGAGTCCAGATGGAGAATCTGAACTTACCTTGTCTTTAAAGACCAGCTCAAAGTCGCTCCTCCTCTGCAGCTGATCGTGCAGATACTCGGCGTTCTCCAAGCATTTGTTGATCTGAGATCCAAACCCCTGTGAGCCCTGAGAGAGGGAGGGAGGGAGGGAGGGAGGGAGGGAAGGAGAGAGAGAG